CCCGCCCCCCCCCACGCCCCCAACAAGACTTGCCTCGTGGCGGCCTTGTTATTAAGTATTCAGTTTCCAAGCTGAAGTTGTGAGTTTCCAAGCAGAAAGGAATTTCAAAAATGGAACAGTGGATGTTAGCGTCAAAATACCTAGAAAAAAGAGGCCTAGTCCGGCTGTTAGTTATAGCTAGGGCGCCGAAGCCCATTCAGCAGTGAGCAAAATACTCACAAAGTTCTCTTTATATCTCTATCTCTACATTTAGAAAATATGCTAAACACAAATATCATATGCAAAGAACCTTCAATATGTGTCAAAAATGCCAACTTTCGCATGTAATTTTCTGAAGTGGCAACCCAGGCCCATGCCCAAACGGCGTTTGCGGTTTGGAATACGAAAAAAGTTAGTCTTTTGGCCAAGACATAAGAAAGACTGCGTTTATTCAAAAGCTGATAAAGATTCAACCGAGTTCCTTTAGTGGATAAGATTATTGGTGATTGAATCAACAACGAATCAAACAACATAATATCTACTTAACTTTGATGACAATTCAGACAAATCTGCTCGCTTTTCTCAACGTTGGCTTTGTGGGTCATAACGCCATAGTGAGAATCTTTTCACAGAATAAAATGAGTTATATTTGTGGGTGATCTGGGGAGGGATCACTTTAGGCAGGGCTATGGCTGCGAAAATCTGATTTCTCATCTAACCGAGATGATCTTGATGGTTTTATATATTTATATACTTCCGGGTATGGAGATTCAGAATCCAAGATGGGAACATTTTTTTTGCGGTACAGAATTGGAAAATGGCTTTGAAAAAAGCAAACATTTTACCAAAGATACTGGAATAGTGACTGGATAGGAAACTGCGCAGACAACAATAGGCGATTACGTTTATCTTCCAATCGCGTGTTTTGGAAAAGTTGTAGGGTATAGTCATTTCCGGTTTTAGTCTCACGACCAGGACATTCACCGAAAAAAGCAACATCCAAGAATGGATTTCACCTATTTTAATGGCCAAATCGACGAAGAATTACTTGAACTTGTTGTCGAGGTAATGTAGTCCGTTTCTTTGTGTACTTTAAAGGCGCTGCAGCCATTATCTCTGTCTCCGCGAATAAGAATTTAAGTCATGGCGATGTAGGCCCTTCTATCAAACTTCAATATTTCATTTTCTAACGAGTAATTGCAAGAATGCCGATTGAACATAATGTATGTTCGATGAACCAGGGATAATGCTAGTGAAAATGTTGATTTACATTATAATTAGGCCTAGGAAGATACTTGTTTTAAATTAATGATGTTGGCTTTGGCTTGATTTTTCATCGACACGGCAGCAGCACCAGTCAACATATAAACAAATCACGAAACAATAAAATGGAAAGTTTCTCGTCTAATCATGTTTCCCGTGTTTGTTATACTTTTGAGGGTACAGAGCTGTGCACCCCTGTAGCAGGTGTACGTCTGGTTAAATTATTATTGATGTTTTCCTTTTAGGAAACCACTATTAAATTTTGTGATGACAGTCAAATTTTGTTATTCACCAACAAACGAGGAGCAATGCAAAGAAAAGGAAAGTTAAAGAGCCATATCGTAAGAAAAAGGGGGTGACTTTAAAGGAAAAAGAACATGATGCCCCTCAGATTTGTATGAATTCAATCATTAAGGGTGCTTTAGAATCGATGGCCAACAAGACGGTTTTGATGGAATATAATGGAAAGTTCTTCAGAGGCTACTGGAACTTGCAGGACCTGCTGATACAATAGGCTTCCCAAGAGGTCTTTTTAAGAACAAATTGGAAAGCAAAACCAATTATCTGGATTCCATGTGGGAAAATTTCCAGAAAGTATGGAGGATGAAAATGTTAGAACAAATGTGCAAGCCCACTTGAAATGCTCAGCTATCAGGCAAAAGTTAATATTTCTTAAAATACTTCAACAATTGAATATGGATGAAATATGAACTAAACAGCTTGAAATATAGCTAATATTACAAAAATAATTCTAATAGAGAAATATTCATTTTCTGGTCTTTTTAACAATATACAAAACTCGTTATGCCAAAATTGCTGGTATTCTAGTTTTTATTACTAGCCCCCTCTATTACTGAAGCATTGAAACACTTTCCTCGCTTTCCAAATAAGAGGAAAGCTACATCTCTTTCTTTTCTTCAGAGGATTTCTCAGAGAGAACAAAATTTGTATCATTCGAAAAGGGGTCCACAGAAACTTTGTTCCGAATATTACCAGTTTTGTCAGCAAGACCTAAGGGTACAGTCTCATCAGAGCTATGTAAAATGACCCAGGGCTGTTTTATTTTGCCAATGCTCTTTTTGAAATCTGTGAAACCTCTTCATTTGTAAAGCACTGGTAAGGGCACCTCTTGAAAAAGTCTTTCAAGCTCACGCCTTTGTTCCCTTGGTTATTTTCATGACTTCTTTTATGTAAGAACTGTGTAGGCAAACTTCCAACAAGGAGGTCTTTTCTTCCAGTCTTTCCTACAAACAACATTATGAAATAATTTATTGTCAATATGAATACAAGATAAAGAAAATTTGAGTTGCCCCCAACTTTGCTTCTAATTTTGTTAGATATTTTTGTCTCAATGACAGTTGATGATTTTGACACTTTTCTCAGGGGGACTTTCGTCCCATCAGACTATTGCCTGCTTTGTTTATTCAACGGTGACACTGTTGATATTCTCAGTCGACCTATCACCAGCAACTGATTGATAGGAGTTGTGGGGGTCGTGACAGCTCCCCCCAATAATAAGTCAAAAATCGATTGAATTCCTAAGTAATATTTATATAACCTATTTCGTAGCCCCCCTACCCCCGAAAGGATTTTTTGATGAGATCTGTATCCAATCTTAATAATAAAACTCTTATAAAATAATAGGCAAAAATAATAATCAATGAAAGAAGTAATGAAAGTTACAGTGACTTACCGATCCTAAAGCAATGTTGATCAAAATGCCTTGCGCAGATGTAGGCCCTCTCTGCGTTGAAACTCCTATCGCATCTTTTTACTTTACACAAAAGCTGCGTTCTCCACTCCTTTTTTCTTTCATTTTTCGTTGAAAACGTAACAAGGGACAAATTAGCTTATCTTGGTAAGTCTACAACAGTTAACTACCGTGCCGAATAGCTGCGAAGCTCGTCATTATCAGTCAAAACCAAACAAACCGGAAATGATCATTCCCTACAAGTTTGAATAAGCAGTGATGCGTAACATGTTCTATTGTCCGCTTCGCAGTTTCCTATCCAGTCACTATTCGAGTATCTTTGATTTTACGACATAAAGCTTTAATCAACTTATTGTATAAACCAATCAGTATCATCAAAATGAATGATTTTACGTTTTTACGACATAC